CTTCCGGCTGAAACCAGTCATCAGAAACGGTAGCAAGCTTTGCCGAGAGAGGGGAAATCGGAAACGGTAGCCAATGGTTTCATTTCCAACCGGCGAAGAGAGCAGCAAAAATTCCAAACGTCACCTGAGAGATCCGAACTCTCACAGGGAAACCCCAGGTACTTAGTAGGCACACGCCTTAACCAGTCGGCCAAAGCGACGATCGATTTCAAAGCTAGTATCAATCCAACAAGAATAAAAAACAAAACAAAATAGTATCGCCTTTTCTGGCTATCTTTCTGACCATTTCAGTTTCCGCCGAACAGAGGATTCACTTTCAACAATTATTTTTCAGTGCCCCCAATTTATTTACCAATAAAAATTTCTTACAATTTATATGTTCAGGAAGCAAATACTGTTTCTGTTCTAACGTTCAAACTAAATGAGAAAGATAAGTGAAAAAACCACTATTCGTTTTACACAATTGTGCTCCCTGACTTGTGATTGCTGTCCCCATTCCCTCTTAAGCTAAAACAATAGGTAATAGGTTTTAAAAAGGGCAAAAAAAAACAAAATAGAAAAAGTTTAGTGGGGTATTTTTGTAATTTAATGTATTCTGTTATCTGACTTAACGGTCAAGGGGGGTATTTGTCTCATGGTCATAGTAACGGGGGGTTTTGTAATTTACCCTATTTTTTTTAATGTGGGAAAGTGGAAAAATTCTCATATTTCTTAGTCTAAAATATTTTAATCATAAATTTATTTTTAATAATACCATTATAATTAAATTTAAATCTTTTGAACAAACAAACTAAATGAAAAATAGACCCAGACTAATACAACTCGAGTTGGTGGATTTTCAGTAATGGTCAATCGATTTTGGGTGATAAACTCTCGACTTAACCAGGTCGATTTGGTTGGAAAAACAGCCTACAACATAACTAAACCAATCCTTGAACACTCCTCGTTTCAGCTAAATTAATAGTCTAATCTATAATAAATAATAATAATTTAATTTTCAATAATATTAAAAATTTATAGTAAAATACACAATTATTGAAAATAAATTTATAATGAAAATACAATAAATACCGGAAATATATTAAATTAGTCAAGAAATAGTGTAGTCTCAAATAACAGTTTAATCCCTAATAAACATTAATCAATCAAATATAAAAATACATAATTATTAAAAATAAATTTATAAAAAATACAATTAATATGATAAATTAAATTACAAATTTTAAATAATAGTTGTTTAATCTCCAATAAATATTGACAATTTTCTGTTAAATAAAAAAAAACAAAAATAGATCTATAAATAATTATTGAAAACATATTTATCAAAATATACAATTACTAAATGTAAAATAAATACTAATTTTAGTGTGTATATATATATAATGAGTGCACTATTATTGTAAGATTATTACTAAAACATATTCTTTTTGAAAATTTATTTTTTATAGTTATTAATTGATATAAGTGAAATTAGTTATTTACAATATTATTTAGTTATTTAAAATTTTAAAATAATTATTTATTAAATTTAATTATCTATAAAATTATAATTAGTACTATTATTACACAATTCGTTATTAATTTTGTAAAATATTAATTTTATTATTAATACGAATATAATGAAATTTGTTATAATTATTTTTCTGATTTTAAGATTTTTTTTAAATTTATTACATAATTTCGTTGTTTTAACTATTTAAAATTTAGTCATGTTAAATATTTTGTTATTTAAATATTTAAACAATATGTAAAATATTATAAATGTTCATTATTTGAATTTTATTTATTTTAATGTTATTATGTAATATTAAATATTCTGTTATATAATTATTTAGGTATTTTTAATCTTTTTTTATTTGAAATACTTAGTTATTTAAATAATATTTTATTTTTAATTTTAAATTTTTATTATTTGAATAACATTTTAAATTAAATAACTCGTAAAATTATAATTTATATTGTTACTACATAATTTCATGATGAATTTTGTAAAAATATAGAATTATTAATGATATGAATATTATTAAATCTATTATAATTTATTTTTGTGTTTTGAATAAAAATTTTAAAAGTCAATATATAATTTTGTTATAATATTTAAATAATTCTGAAATTTTTTAATTGAAACTTTCTTTATATAGATGTAGAAAAAAAGTGGCGGAGAGGATAAAATGGATTTAGAGATAGTTTAAGAGGAAATCTCTCTATTAATTTAGAGATAACTTAAGAGAAATAGGAGTTAGGGATAATTTAGGAGATAAATAGGAATTAGAGACAATTCCACAGAAAGTGGGGAAAAATGGTGCCACTTGGCTAGATATTATAAAAGCAAATCCCTTCTTCTTTATGTTTTAAAAATAATTAAGCCCGTGTTATTTCCTTATTGCTTTAATGGGCAATAATGTGGAATTAAAAAAAATTCAAAAAAAAGAGAAAAATAAATAGAGGGTTTAGAGCGCGTGTGTGTATGTGGATTGCTTATAATCTCTCTCAATCCACACAAATCATGATATGGAAGGAAAACTTGCCTAAAACCCAAGTACATGAATGTGGACGAAAAGGAAACTCTCCCTATAATCTCTCTTTCTAGATATCTAAATTCTATTAAATATTAATAATTTAGATATATAAACTATTAGTTAATCTTTGATTTACTTAAATTACAAAGGCCAAGTTTTACTAATTGTAATTAGTAAATTTCTTAATTACTCAGGTTGAGCCATTAAAGTTAACGTACTGGACATAAATTTGTTCAACTTAAGTGAACGAATAAAGTTTAAATTAGAACATTACTTAAATTACTGAATCAAAAATTAGTGAGCTTCTTAAAATTATAGAACATTAATAAATCAACAAAGTTATTATTAAATTAGAAAATTAGTAAACTAATAATGTTATCATAAATTACTTAAATTAATTACTAGAATAGAAATAGAAAGTCGGTCAAATTATTTAATAATTTACTAATAAAATTACTATCTTAAGTAAATAAGTAAAATCAGTAAATTAGAAAAATTAGAAAATTGGTTATTCCAATTCAAATAAACCTCACTATCGCTTAGGCTCACTATCGCTTAGGCTGTGATTGGTTTGAAGGAAACAGTAGGGAAAGGAAGGAAAATGTAGGTTTGTAAAGATTTTCCTACATTTTCCTTTCTTTCCCTATTTTTTCCTTCAAATCAAATACAGCGTTAACAAAAACCCGTTCCGTACACGGGTCCCTACTCCCCACTGGTTACAAATATACAAATTTGGCCCCTTTTGCATCCAATCTCTCTCTCTCTCTCTCTCTCTCTCTCTCTTGCGTCTCTTACATTACTCGCCCACAGCCATGTATAAAGTGGCAAGCCCGTCGGAGTACTTAGTGATCACCGGCGTCGGGATACAAGACATCAAGCTCGCCAAGAAGGCATGGATCCTTCCGGGGCAATCCTGCACTGTCTTCGACATCTCTCCGGTAAACTACACGTTCGAAGTACAGGCTATGAGCGCAGAAAAGCTCCCCTTCGTTCTCCCGGCGGTGTTCACTATCGGCGCCCGAGCCGACGATGAAGCCAGCCTCCTCAAATATGCCAAGCTCATCACCCCACATGACAAGCTCTCTAGCCACGTTAAGGAGCTTGTTCAAGGGATCATCGAGGGTGAGACACGAGTTCTGGCAGCGTCGATGACCATGGAGGAAATCTTCAGAGGAACCAAGGAGTTCAAGCAAAAAGTGTTCGAGAAGGTTCAACTGGAACTCAACCAGTTCGGCCTTCTGATCTACAACGCCAACGTTAAGCAGCTGGTCGACGTGCCTGGTCATGAGTACTTCTCGTACCTTGGCCAGAAGACCCAGATGGAGGCTGCCAACCAGGCTAAGATCGATGTGGCTGAGGCCAAGATGAAAGGTGAGATCGGAGCAAAACTTCGTGAAGGGCAGACGCTGCAGAATGCGGCAAAGATCGACGCGGAGACGAGGATCATATCAACCCAAAGGCAAGGAGAAGGAAAGAAGGAAGAGATTAAGGTGAAGACAGATTTGAGGATATATGAGAACCAGAAGGAGGCCGATGTTGCAGAGGCCAACGCGGAGTTGGCGGCAAAGAAAGCGGGGTGGACTCAGCAGGCTCAGATGGCGGAAGTGGAGTCAGCAAAGGCGGTGGCCGTCCGAGAGGCTGAGTTGCAGAGAGAAGTTGAGAGGATGAACGCATTGACCCGCACAGAGAAGCTCAGGGCCGAACTACTGAGTAAGGCCAGTGTGGAGTATGAAACCCGGGTAAGGAGCACTGCCGATCGATCCGGTCATGCTCTTTTTTTCTTTTTTTTTCTAAATAAATCCAACTGTTCTTGATGAAATTTCTACGATTTCTGAGGAATTAACGTCCAAAGTGCATATCTGTTTGTAACACAAGGTTCAAGAAGCGAACTGGGAGCTTTATAAGAAACAGAAGGCAGCAGAAGCAGTACTGTATGAGAAGGAGAAAGAGGCCGAGGCACAGAAAGCAATTGCAGAGGCATCTTTATACGCTCGCCAACAAGTTGCAGACGCAGAATTGTATGCAAAGAAGAAAGAGGCCGAGGGAATAATGGTGCTTGCACAGGCGCAGGCCGTTTATCTGCGGACTCTGCTGGAAGCATTGGGAGGCAATTACAGTGCACTGAGAGACTATATGATGATCAATGGCGGAATGTTCCAACAGCTTGCTAAGATCAATGCAGAGGGCTTGCAGGGACTACAACCGAAAATCAGTGTTTGGACTGGAGGAAGCGTCGGGGAGGCTGATGGAGACGGAAATGGCTGTTCCGCCATGAAGGAGGTGGCCGGGGTGTACCGAATGCTGCCTCCATTGCTTGCAACAGTGCATGAACAAACAGGGATGCTTCCTCCGCCGTGGATGGGCACATTAATTAGCAAACCGGAAAAGTGATTAAGAACAGAGATTTTTTTTATAGCAATTAAGAACAGAGATTTGTGTGTGGGAGTGTGGTATCTTTTGCTTTAATCTATTCAATTAGGTTATGTGGAATCAAAGTTGTATAACGATATGCTCTTAATTAGTTCCTATTATTTTCTGTGTGCCTGTTAAAACCACAACTATCATAGTAGATTTAAGACAATCACAGGGCTAATGTTTGAGATTCTATGGGATCTGAGAAATTGTCAAACTGATTAAACTCGAGTTCTCTGGTTAGGAGCTAGATATCACCAAAAAAACAAGAGAAACACAGGCAGCCCAGCTGCCTCTTTTAATTAACTATTGAGTGGAATTGGAAAAGAAAGAAGTTCTTCATAATATTGAAAAACTGAAACCCACTTGATTTTATCACAGACAGCCTTGTTATTTCAGACCCTACATAACAATAACAATTCTGTGTCTGAAAAATCTTGGTGGCATCGACTGTTGTTGATTTGGTAAAAATTAAGAGAGAAACAGAAGGTTGAGAATTCGTTAAGAACATCTCCCATAACTTTTTTCCGTTTCTCTAATTTTTCTAACCAAAGGATTTCAGTTGGTTTAATTGATCTATGCCCAATCACGGGGCTATTCTAGGAGGGATCAATTGGAAGATATTTCAAGAATCCAGTCTTCCTCAATTTTATCACTTCAAGCAACTGAATCTTATGTATGGCAGACGGCTATTAGCATGGCGAATGGCAAGGGTGCTGCTTGATCAAATATTCTAGATTTCTAGTGGAAGCAGATAATTATTCCCTCCAACTAGAGGAAAAAGAAGCGATAATTATTCGGTTTGGAGTAGGCATATACCCATTATCAGAAAACCATGGTTCTCCACTTCTGACTGGCATCATCTTTGCCTTGGTACTTCCACCATCATTCCTTGTCTTTTTTAAGAAGAAGATATTTATTTGTTTGCATCACCAGATCTGATTTCATATCAACTGCAAAGTGGGCTCTTGAGGTTGTTTTGGGCCAACAGGGCTGTCTTGAGATTAACCTAACCCTCTTATGGCGAGACCATTATGCTGATAATGGTGAATTGGTGATCCGCTCTTTCTTCTATAACAATCTTGATTTTTTTATTTCGAAAATTAACAATCTTGATGGGGCACTGACGCACTGCTATATTTTGAAGCAACTACACGCAGGTCCCACCTATCAGACTGACATGGCTTCATGATTGGCTATAATCAACCAATAAGAAATTGTGATTGTGCAGTAGTAGCCCATAAGAAATTTTATTGTCTTCAGATGTTGATTTCTGTTCCAAGGGTTCCATGATCAATGAGTGAATCTTATACTATTTCATGGGTTGATTCATATTTAGATTTAAGAGCCATGTGCTGATACAAGTATTTACTTAAAACAAGTATGTAAGTTGAAACAGGGGAGTGCTGAGTGCATCCTTCCAACCAGGCGCAGATTTGCGTGATCTTCTGATGTGGTTTAGCACCTGGCCGGTTAGCTTCACCACCATGGCTTCCACTTAGAAGGTATTCATGTTCGCATCTTGTTGCCTACATTAAATCATTTGCTGATGAAGGTCAGCTGCCTGTTGAGCAAGCTCTTGCATCATGGCTTCATCGAAGAATTTGTTGATGCTCACGTCCTCACTCATGCCCTGTGAAGAATATGTCATTTAATGAAGATCACTTGGGGAGTTTGGGGTGATCACTATCCACTACTAGATTCAAGAGACAGCAGAGAAAAGGAACCATATTGTTTTACTATAAAACACTTTACCTTCCGACGCCTTGTCTTCACCATGAACTCACGAGCAAGGTGCTGAATAGGTGCAGGTTCAAGAGGCCGCAACACTATGCTCTTGTCAAGGGGGTCTCCAGGAACTATGGCCCAATGATCAAATACGGAAAGGCAGAACGCTTGCCCTTGAGTATGGTACCTCAAGTCTGTCTCGAAGCCAAATGATTCTATAACTGGTAGAAATGCCTGGAATACAGATATACAGAAACACCATACTGTAACTGTACCAAACTTACTGATCAAAAAAAAAAATTGTACCAAACTTGCAAAAAGAAAGAAAATGGGAAAAAAATCAATCATGGCAGTTGAGTGCACTAGCCCTACACTATATCAACATTTTTGTAGACAAATAACTCCTATTGTTTAATAACATGTGGAAAACCAACACGGTTTCATGGTTCAGAACTAAGCACAACAAAACCAAGCATTACACATTCAAAAAGAGATCAAAAGCTTCCATGTGGCTTAAGTTGGCAGAATCACATATATAAACTACATTAGGAGTGTACCATCTTATTTGGGTACTTTAAATTGTAATTTATGTAGTTTAATAGGCCAACATACTTTCCAAAATCCATCCTTCTTTAGAATAGTATTTTGTTTCATTACCAAACTTTTATTAGTTAGTAGTTAAGAGTATAAAAATGTTAAATATAGTAAAAGCATATATGCTTAATAGGGCTAGCAATGCTATCTACTCAACATGGTATTTGTACATGCTGATACTAGTTGATTGCCCCCCAATAGGGATTTTCCCTACTAACACCTAGTCTGCCTAGTGAATCAGCCAAAGCATTTGCAAATCTACAAATCCATTTCCATTCCACTACCAAATTCCTAAAGGATTTTGGACTTGGTGCTGCCATTTACCAAGGCTGTCATTATTTAACCATCCCACAACTGTCTTTGAGTAATCCCTAGAGTTTTGAAATCAAGCATCATACTAAAAATACTTCAAACTAGCATTTACTAATAAATAACAATCTTAAGATAATGGAAGTACATTTATATAACCATACCTTCACAATATAAGCTGGGGTGCCTGGCTGAGGAACATCAGCTGTAACATGCCCACGCCGACGAGACAGCACAGTGTAGATTGCAGAGACACAGTCTATTGGAGTTTGTATCTGATAGAAAATGCATATAATCTCACGTAAGTCATCAATGACAAAGGATAACTCAATTAATTTTACATTTGGTAATTTTCTAGTGAATGTTGATGGGATGACATGGCTGTTTGCCCATAAGCATAAAATAAGCAAATAATCTGACCACACAGGAGAGAGAAACCAAAGAACTTGGACTGCATGCTTCTCATAAAAAGCTTCTTCATCAACACTTGCTTCCTTGATGTTTCGTAGACCTTGATTTCAGGTCAGCATTGTAGCAGCTTCCACAAGACCTTGATTTCAGGCAGTATGAAGAACTGCCTAAGGTAACCATTACGTATTGTTTCGTTGGTTTTCAAATCAAAATGCAATTTTTCATGCATATGCTCATAAGCTGAAACCAACATTCTACATAAGCCAACAATTTGGAAGACATGACATTTGAGTGAAGCAACACAATTTTCATGACTTAAACTTGATTTTAGTGCCAGATCATGATGGGCTGGTTATGTGCAGGATCATCAACAGCACCAGAGAGAAGTGATCTTTACAAGTTGAAGGGTATAGAAGTGCTTTAGGCAGACCAAAAAAAGCATGAACTGTTGTAAGAATATGTTGAAGGTCCATAAATTAACAAGGAATTTGGCACTGAACAGAGCAGAATAAAAGAACAGGGTTCATGTAGCCAACCTCATATAGTTGGGACTTGGGACAAGGCTAGTTCAGTTGAGCTGAGCTGAGCTTGACTATAGAGGCTCAAGGTGTTTGAAGCACTAAATGCCAGCATGGAAGATTGAATAAGATGTTTTCTTCACATATTGGCAACCAATCCCTAAGGAAATTAGATATAGGAAGCTGATATAATCATATCTTAACCCAGATCAGAGCACGTCATATTGGGGGAAACTAATATAATCCACTCCTCCTGCATATTTTAGGGGATTTGGGAAGAGGAATGGAAAGATCATTAATAGCAAGGAAAGATACCACCCCAAAGAAGCAAAATGTACTTCAAAGGTCATGTGGCACCCAATCCTAGAGAGGAGGAATGCGAAGTTAGCTACTTGGAAAACAAGGTACCTCTCCAAAGGAGGAAAAGTCGCACTCATCAGGAGTGTGTTGGCAAGCCTCCCAGCCTACTACATGTCCAAGTATCCAATTCCTTCGGAGGTAGCAGAAAAAAATGGAAAAGAAGATGAGAGATTTTCTGTGGTCTGGTTGGAAAGATTCTTCCAAATAGCATCTGGTGAACTGGGACCAGATCCAGATCTGCGAGCCAATCGCCTACGAGGGAATGAGAATTAGGAAGGTAAAAAAACTTCAAGACAGCACTACTGAGCAGATAGTTTTGAAGGTTCTCTAAAGAGCCCAATGAACTATGAAGGAAAACAATAGCTGGGAATTGAGAAATATGGGATCAGAAGCAATAGATGGAAAGCAGAGAACCAATGCCTTATGGATGTGGTGTGTTGAAGAGAATATCCAAAGATTTTCTACGTTTCAGCAAAGGTCTAACGGTTCAAGATTGGAGATGATAGGAGATTGAGATTCTGGTTTGACCCTGAGTGCAGGAACAGAGCACTAAAGGACGCATTCCCATCCCTATTCAATATAGCAGAAAACAAAATGGCCTTGGTTTCGGAAACATATATACAAGAGATGGCAAAAGAAATGTTTGGACCCCCTCTTTCAGAAGGAGTTTTAATAACTGGGAGCTTGAAAGGGTGGTTGGTCTCCTGCCCACACTTCAGAACCAGCAGCTAAACTTGCAATCTCAAGATCAAAGATGATGGAAGTGGACTCACTTTGGTGACCTTACTGTCAAATCCTTTTAAAAGAGCTTAGTTTGTGCCCAGGGAGCAATTCCAAGTAAGGCTATAAGGGGATCCGCAGTTCCCATCAAAAGTAAAGTTCTTTGCTTGGGTGATAACATGGGAGAAGTGCCTTACCAAAGAAATGTTACTGAAGAAGGGATTCAATGTATCAGATTTAATATGCCCCCCCCCCTTTTTTGAGAAAGGTTACGGCCCCTTTGCAATCTGGATGTCAAGACTTCAAGTCATTTGTTTTTACAGTGCAACTTCAGCGCAGCTGTTTGGAACCAGTTATCAGGGCATTAAACTTAAGTCAGTGCTTCCCGAATACTTTGAAAGCACTTTTTGAAGAATGACAGATTCTAGGAACATCCAAGAAAGGGGAAGTGTGCCAGTCAACCATCCTTGTGGCAATTCTGTGGGCTATATGGTTTGAGAGAAATAGCAAAATCTTTGCGCACAAAACATCTTCTAAAGCAGAGGTGGTCAATTTGGTAGTTAAGGAACTTGGAAATCAGTTGTCTATATTAATGTTGGCACTTTTTCTGCTTTTTTGAGAGTGAACCTTTTTTTTATCAATAACAGAATGTTTTATTAGATTATTAAAATTGTGAAACTTTGAGTACAAGAGAGGGGAGGTAAAATATCTTAACTCCCCCACAACAGAGAACAAGAATGAAAGCTAAAAAGTGGCCCAAAACAAAGAATCCTTAAGCACCCCTTGCTTAGCTAACCCATCAGCCATGGAATTAGCACTTCTCCTCACCCAACTGTACTTCACCTCAATATCACTACTCAGCCATTTAAATTTTTTCTTTTCATTTCTGTAGCTCGACAAACCATTGCTGTCTTCCTTCAACCACCTAATTACCACCTCCGAGTCCCCTTCAATGATCAAGCACTGAATGTTTATGCATGTATAGCATAAACTATTTTTATTTCTTTTGAGAGTGAACCTTTTCTGAGGTCCTAAAAGGGTTTATGCGTGTACAGCATCTCATTGTACAGAGGACCATACACTATTTTTATTTTTAATACAACATACTTTAACTTTCTTCAAAAAAAAATAATAGCAAGGAAAGGAAGTTTTGGAGGCAAGAGCAGATATGGGTTTTTGTTTCCCTGATTCTGAAATTCAAGGACAGAAATGTTGTTGGAAAGGATTCTTTGAATTCCATGGAATTTAACAAAAGATGTTATATAGAACCTTTCTATATGTTATCTGTTCTTTTGGGTATTTGCTCCATGCCATGTTCTCCAACTTCAATCTTTTTATTCTCTGTTTTTCTTTTAAAAAAGTTATCTATTTGTAAAAAGAGCAAAAGATGGGGAAATAGAGCAAATGGAGATTGGAGAAACTCATTCCAAATGAAAGAGCAAGGGGGGAAGGGGGGATAACTTAAAGAGTTTAGTTAGCACCCTTCTCCGACACCAATGACCACCTCTTTTTCTGAAAAAGTGAAGGCAAATTTTATTGCCGAGTCAACTAATGGACATAGTACAACAGCGCCCCATTACAGCCAAGCACTGCACAGAGATGGAGGACAGCATTCTTAAAACCAAATTATAGATACAACTTACAAGCATACCATACTTTAGGTACAGTGCCAAACTGCCAATGACCTGTCAGCATGTCCATTTTTCAATACAGTGATAGACAAAGCCCTAAAGGTTTTCATGATGGATAATTAACAAAATAGAAGTTTCTTTTTCGCAATGCAATTTTCTTTTTGGATTGGACTAACTTATTAAGCCAGTAGTTAATACATCTTTTTTTAGATGAGTAACCATCAATTTTATTAATTAAAAATAGCATAAATACACATATTATACATCCATTTGTACCAATTGTAGTTAATACATCCATTTCCTACAAGGCATGTTGTCATTCCTTGGTAAGACAGTACTATCACCCCATCATTTTCCATTTTATATATATGGTTTCTCTTTGTTGTTGCACCACTGAACAATATTTACCTCTACATAGTATACAGGTTCCATAAGCCGTGGTGTTGCCATGAGAAAAGCTGAGTAGGCCACCCGTCGGGCTGTAGGAATGATCTGACCAGTGCCACGATGCAAAGGCTCTGGAGCAACCCTTGCATCAACAATTTTGAATTTTACATTTCTGATTGGCTCATCACAGAGGGGTCCTTCTCGGGCACCCCATTGGAACCTGTTCAGGATTAAGTGATTAACATGAATGCATATGAGAAACTAAACATCATACCATGATAGAGGAAAGAAGGACCAGTATATTTTACCCCTGAACAATAGAATCCTTTACAGCATTCAGCAAATTCTTGTCAACTTCACTAGGGAGGGTATCATCTAATAGGATGTTAGGTCCCTGCATACACATTATTATCAATCAAATAAGTATTATGTATACAACATTGACCAAATGAGAGAGAGAGAGAGAGAAATTTGAGTTTTGATCAGTAAAAAAGGCTGATCTTATTCATACAAAATTGCACATATGATTTAATCAAATGTATGAAATCTGCAGATCTAACAGAGGCTTAGTTATGTATCGCCCTGGCATTATTAGCTGTAATAGCCTTTCCTGTTATACAAGGAACCTCAAAACTAACATCCAACAATGTTAACAATTGGCAGTCCTAGATAAGGTGCCATGAAAAATAGCACATCCATTAAGATACTAAATGCCAAGTTGCCAACAATTTGCTTCTTCCAAGTATCTTGGGAATTTTCTCATATAGCATGCTAATGATGCTCCGAAAAAATTAGAAATTGCCACTCTTAGGCTCCATTTGGTTGCAGTGCAAATGGGCTGACTGGAAATTCCAGCCTATTTTTGTGTCAGGTTTTACTCTGTTTTGCTTATTTGCAAGGAGTAAAACTAGAGTAAAAGATGTGATTCCCCCAATTTATATCAGAAGGTAGGAGGAAGGATGTGTAAATTTTGCATTGATTTTGGGGACGGAAAATTTGCACTGCCAATGAAGCAAATCATAGTTATAATCAAATGCATGCAAATCTAAAACTGGTATGTATTTGTACTGCAAACAGAGACTTAGATAAGGTGTCATGAGAACAGAATATCCTTATTTTACAAATTTTTTATTCATTTTCTTACTTTTATGACATCCCTAAAAATTAAATTAGTTATGAGATTTAGTATTCATGCATAACCATGATGTCCCCATGCTATGATTTTTATACTCAACCCTTGGCATCCTTCCATGTACCAAAGTATAAGTAGAACTGGTTTTTTTTCTGTACAATTTAGGTGGACAGGAGAACCCATGCCTCTTTTATTTTAAAATACCATAAAACCATCCCAACAAAAAAAAAGCAATAAGTATATGCCTTCCTTCATAACTAGATAGTTGTCAGCTACCATAAATAGGATTTATATTACCTGTTTATCAGGCCCAAATGCCCAGATAGACCGTGCTGCAAGCAAATCCCAATCATATTTTGTCTGGAAGAAATCACCAAGTCTCTTTCGAGGCCAATCAATGCTTACAACACCATTCTCAATATCTTCTGCAAGTCCTTTCTCCAAAGGTTCTGCAATCTAAAACACAAAAGCAACAAGTTAACCAAATAATGCCCAATAACCGTGTGCAACTACCACTCGCCACTGGGTCAAAAAAGAAAGCAATAGGCACTTCATTACCATGGTTATTTTATTCTTCTTGTTGGGTGTTTCAGCAAAACATTTCATTGATGACGACTCCACGACTGTTTCGCAAAATGAAACAACAGGATCTGCCACCTACATCAACAGATATATGTCAAGCATCTTGAAACGTACAGCAGAAGACAAGCATAAGCTTAATAAAATATGATAGAAGAATTATAATTATTAAAATAGAAAAGGGAAGGAAATGTGAGCAAGCAGACCTTGACTTCCACTTCAGAATAGAGCTCCCTAAGGTCCTTCATTATAGAATCCAAGTATAACTCCCCAGTACCTAAAATAGTATGTTCACCTGACTCCTCAACTTTGGTAATTGCTAGAGGGTAGCTCTTACTGATCTTTCGGAGACCTTCCACCATCTTGGGTAACTCACTTGGATTCAAAGGCTCAGTTGCTGTCTTGACAACAGGGAGGGTATTGAAACGAAGAGGTCGAAAAATATACACATCTTCATCATAATCCACATTGCAAAGTGTAGCAGTCTTCATAATCGAAGCATCAACACCCTCTATTAGTACCCAAGACCCAGGAGGAGCTTTGCTTATGGGTATGCGATAACGAGATTGATAAACCCACAACTTTGTCACTTCTTTTATGGTCATATCCTCCTCATCATCAGGTGAATAACCTTCTCCCAGTACACGTATGGTCTGGCCGGTCTGAATCTCACCGCTGTAAACTCTACCAAAAGCATCAAATACACTACAATCCGACTTTGGGTAAAGTTTTGTCACATTAATCATCAGTGGACCTGAAGGGTCACAATCTTCCATAGCCTGGTATATTGAAGAATCTCGAGGACCTGTATATATGTGCTCTACCTTCCTCGCTGCAGCACCCTTGGCTGAAGGAATGTGGTTAACCAGCATGTCAGTGAAGCCTGTGGCAGACCCAAAAACTGAACTACAAGCCAACCATAGCAAAGGCCTAACATTTAATCGGTATGCTGCATTGCTAAGAGTTACACCAAGTTCTGAAAGAGTTGCCTCCACACTCTTCCTGTGTTCTCCTATCACCTGACTATAGATTTTGTAGAGAGGCTCAAGGATAAACTGCACAAATGATCTTTCTCCTCCATTTACAGGGGGTTTCCTCTTGAAGACCCTTTCATCAGGATGATAGTACATATCACCCCAAAGACGGGTTGCAAACTTATTAGCATCAAATGGAATTCCATGGAGCTTAACATAAAGCTTGGCAAATGATTGCAAAGTGAAGGACCAACCAGCACTTGAACTTGCAAAACAAACATTTCCAGCAGCAGGATCAACGGTTTGAACACCTCCTGCAGTTGATGAGGCAGCAGATATGTGGTTATTGATTACTTCTATTGTATGCCTTAATTTATGGTATGCATCCTTTGGTGGTAATTTAAGTTCTGTTATCAGCCGGTCAACCTGTAAATAGGCAAACCAGAATACCAGATAACTACATAAGTACATATGGAAGAATACTGCTTTGAGGAAAATGTCAAAGCTGTATAAAGTTGAAAGATTTGCATGTAAAAAGATTGAAAAGAAAAAAAAAATACCTTATTGATTACAACAACTATAGGAAGCCGTTCTTGGATTGCATGACGTATTGCCCTTTCTGTGTTTACCTGCATCAAATAAGCAAAATATATCATACAGATTATCATATTCATGGAATCATGCAAGCAACCGAACTTGATTACAATACAGGAATTATGCAAGGTAAATAAATCAATTGGCAAGAGATCTAACTTCTAAATTTTGCTGGGTAAAATCAGCCAATTGTACTGATGATTTGTTAGCTGAATAAGGTGTCAGGTGGGAGAGAATGCATTGGGCACAGCTTTAGTATATTGAAGTACAAGGACTAGGTGGCCTGTCACCCATGACCCAACTCTGGTTTGACTAATAGTATTGTACACTTAATTTTTTCGTATTTAATCAATAAAGTTACTGTTATCCATCAAAATAATAAGAAAACTATATCATATTGCTTATAATATGCATAGACAGTCTGTAGTAAAAGACCATTACCAAATGATGATCCCAGCTACCTGTGGTCATGGGAGGGGTAGTCTGGTTATATTCTCAAAATCGTAATAATCATATCATAAATTGTAAACATGTTAAATGACTTAAATCAAATTAAATTACGATTATTATCATAAATCATAAGATTATTTCCATTTCTCTAAGTTTGCCAAAAATTGAAAATAGATGTGCTAAAAACTTAAATATATAGAGAGGTGATTTTACCCCATTTTAAATCTCTATAAAACATATATGTACTTAATACAATAGAGTTTACCATTCGCTAAAAGCATAAGATGACACAATCAATTTTTACTTGAAAAGTCAACTAAACTACTGGGGATGAAAGCTGGGTACTGAATTTGAAGAATTTATGCTGCATCGGGCCCACGTTTCTGGGTCAAACCCATTCAAATTTTAACAAACCTCACCCTAAACCCACTCCAACTGCACCCCTTTAATTTACATAAAATGGCTATTTAAGATACAGATGATGGAATTGCTGATAAAAAGAAAAAAGAAAAAAGAAAACATACAGATGGTCAAAAACAAACTCAATAAGGTTTCTAAATAGATCATAAAAACCTAAATAAATCATATTCTAGTAGTACTTTTTAAACAAAGGCCCCTTGAAGAAAATAAAAGAAGCAAAATAAAATGCATAACTAGGTCTCAATTAAATTAATTTGATTTCCATGAATCACATAAAATGTAAGATTCACAAATTGAATCATATGATTCAAAGAGTAATCATAGATATAAGCAGAAAATGATTCAAACGTAAGATTTGAATTGAAACCCTAGGGACTCGCAATTTGAATCGTGAACCATATTATAAACCTACGATTTTGACAACTCCTTAAGCAGTTAATCATGTGAAAACCAGCCATTCTTTTACAAATAAAAGTGGTCCAATTCTCCTATTAACTAACATTTTTTCTGCTTCATGTTTTGATTGTTGAGTCAGTTATTGTGCTGATGTACTTAGCCAACATATGACGGGCAGTAAAACCTGCAATGCATACTTTCTCATGACAACAAACTCAATGTAATATATATGGAATTAGCATGTTATATGAAGGTCAGTAAATCTGCATCTCGATTTTGACTTTTTCCCCATCTTTTTCTATCATTTCAAGATCAAAATGCATTAATTGGAAAAAAGTTGAGCAAGGTGCCAACCAGCTGGTTGGTAAGGTCTCCTGCTGGTGGTAGCGGAGACTAGGGATCAAGTCCCACCTGCACCTGGGTTGGGGGATAGGCTACCCCCCCCCCCGGCGGTTGTGTAGCCCTTCAAAAGATATCAAAAATTGGCAAAAGTTGATGAAAGATAGAAATACCTCCTCCCATGAGCTTATGGTAAGGAAATTCAACATCTACAGTAGCAGGTTACATTCCTCAATATATGAGGAATACCACTAGGAATTAAAGTATAGAGGCATGCAAAGGCATCAATTCCATTTTCCCTGCATGTGACATCCCTACATAGATATTAATGATATTAATGAAAATAATAAAGTTTATAATGGTAAATAAATAAGATGTTATCAAAAGCTTTAAGTTCCAACCCTCCAAATACCACTTTACTCATTTGCCCATCTTAAGAGTTTATTGGAATTTAATTGTGCTTAACGAAAAAGAAAATTCACTCAAACATATTTCAAATAAAGATCCTTCAGGAAGGTCCCACTTCTAATTAGACCTTCTTTATTTACTCTCAGTCTCTCCCCTCTCATGAGATTCCTATTCACATTATTTTTCATCATCCATGTCTTACCCCTACCATATGGGGATTCACATTACTTTTCATTACAAACACATTTTTTCTTTTCAATATAAAGAGAACTCTTTATGTTACTAGTTAACATGGGTATTAATTATATTTTTTTAATAAGTATTTTTGTCACAGTCAATGAATCTCCTATTTAAGGTTTCCAAATAATATCCTACTTACTTATTTTAGAAAAGCCATCTCTTTTCCAAAATGTGTAGGATTCTTAGGCCAAGTACTTCAGTATGTAGAAATTTTTTTCCTACTTCAAGACATTACAATCTAGAAGAATTCTTCCTCCTTTATCCATCACACCCCCCAATCTTGAACCAAAAAACATGAAGGGTCTTCATACTATTCCCAATGCCTAGAGATGTAACATATTAATCTTTTCTTGTTACAGTATTAGCTGCAACATGTGTTTACATTGTAGCCTGTCCGTGCCATTGGAGGACACCACTAGTAACTAGCCTTGGAAAGTATTGCTTATTACATATTTGTAAGTGTCCTAAAAGTTGTGAAAGCTCAATCAGACGGAATGGCACAATTGTTAAAATTACAAGGGCTTACAAGAAATAAGATCTTAGATTCTGGTGATGGTTGTAACAGTCATAACAAGGATCAAGTTGTATATAATAGTGTTTTGATTCCTAAGAAAGATGATCATAGCATAGAAAGTACAAAACCCATCCATCTGTAGAGATAAAGGCATCAGTAGTCAGAAGTTGAAGCACTAGGAGAAGTTTTTATTGTAAACAAGACCGACCCTGCCTTCATGAAGGCCCCAACCTCCTAGGATTAAGAGCATATAACATCTTAAAATCATACTGGCTACTTAAAGTAAAGAAACTAAGAGACTGACAAACACATTGAGAGTTTGACATGCTTAAATTGTTGAGTGCTTGAAGCACTTTGGTACAACCCACATCCATTTTCTTTCACTTTCACTTTGAATTTGTTTTAGATGCCATGCTTACATATTTGATTTGAGCTAACAAGCTTTTTAAAACATTTAACTTTTTATTTTTGGAAACCCATGCTTTCATATTTTTTATGTATTGACTAAAACTTGGATCTAAGTAAACTGCAATTGGGCTCAGTAGTATACTGCATTCTTCAAATTCTTATGCTGCATTCTTGTAGGTGGTTAAGGATGTTTTGAATCTGGTTGGAGTGGAGTGGTGAGAACGAGGATGTGGGAAAAGGGAAGAGTAGAAAGAAGATGGGGGTGGAAGCACGGTATAACCTAGCTCGTGTAGGCGGAGGAGTTAGGAGTAGGAAGAAGATGGGGGGTGGAAGCATGGCCAAGTTTTGGGGAAACTTCCTTAAAAAGTTCGGGAGCTAGATCATTCCTGGAAACAGCAATTGAAGGTGTACAGGCGAGAAAGCTCTTCTTGCAAAGGTGCCTGGTGGAATGTTTGGACTGGAATATCCCAGTAGAAGAGTTTGAAGTGTGGGCGACAGGAAGTTGGAGAGCGGTGGGATGGTTGAGAGTCAAGAAATTAATCGAGGACTGCTACCTTTTCATCTTCCCTTCGGAGGACGAGGCAGAGTGGGTCCTCTTGAATGGACCTTAGTATATCAGCCGGAACATACTGGCCCTGGATTAGTAGATGGAAACGGCGGCGAGTCTGCTACCGGAAAAGCTAAACAGCTCAAACAACCCAAAGGAGATCTGGTCAAGAGTCTTTGGGCTCCCACTCCCTCTATGGTGCCCGAGCATGATTTAAGGGATTGGCAATTTGTGTGGGGGTTTTCTGGGAACAGGCGATTCTGTGGAAGAGCTGAAGACGTGTAACGGGTGAGAATGAAAGTCAAGGCTGGAGGGGTGATTACGGAGAGGTTAGAAAGAGTTGCAGGTGATTTTTCTTGCTAGGTGTGGCTTTGACAGGAGAAGAGACAGAAGGTGAGCCTAAAAGAAAAGAGGGAGAGGGAGGAAAGAGAAAGGTTTTTAGGGGGCAATTCAGTTATGGGAGAGACAGTGGTTTTGATCCAAGATGAGATGGACAGCTCTGGGGGAAGACCGATGCTAGAGATTGGAGAGGAAGGTGCTTTTATTGGTGAGGCTGGAGCTGGAAGACAACCCGTGTTCAGGGCTTGTGACAGGGAAGTTGCCTCGTTTGTCATGTGGGGTGAGATGAAGAATACTCTGGAGAACCGTCCGATCTTGGAGTGTGACAGAGTGGGTTCTTTGAAGGTGTCCCCTCTTTCAAATTTCAAATTGGGGAAAGAAGATCCCTCTAAAGAATGGTTAAAGAAAACTTTATTAGAATGCCTTAAGGACCTTCAGCTGCTACCAGTTGGAGCTATAAGTGGGGGGTGGGGTGGAATAAGAGAAAAATTAAACAATGAAGGGGTGAGACTAAAAGAAGTTGGAGATTTTGGGGAAAGGATAGCCTTGGAAAAGGATGGTTCGAACACACTTAACTCGGTCCCAGAGAACCGAGACCATCCGAATCGGAACCGGTTGTAGGGTAACCCGAATCCGACCTATCTTAACCAAAGAGAAGACCGACCCTGTCTGACGGAAGGCCCAAACTAGCTCTTGGCTCCTCCCCAACCAATCAACAATGATAAGAGAACCCATGGTCAGGCCTCGAAAAAAAGAGATAGCCAGAACAGATTGTGACCGAAACCTATCCAGACTCCGCCAAGAGCACAGCAATCGAAATTTTCCTCCCCGATGTCGACAGGCTCAGGTAACTCATCAACTGTTGTTCCTACCCCTCATGATGTGGGAGAAAACAGGATCCTAACCCTCTCTCTGTTCCAAAATCCTGAGGTAGAGGTGACAAAGGCTACCCCTTGGCTATTCTAGAATAGACC